AATCCCCTTAAATTTCCCCAAGTGAATATTTTTTTCTCCAGAAGAAATCCCCAGACAAAAATATCCCCAAAAAATTACCCAAACAAAAAAAATCCCCTCATTATTGGGGAAAATCCCCTCATCCGGCAACCCTGGTGCTGGCCAAATAGCTTTTAATTAAGCTAAAGGTCATACCTCTGAGCACAGCTGGTGCTTGGAAATAAGAAGAAGAAGAACATTAAACATAACCTCTCTTTCTTTCGTAACCGTAACTCAAGTCTTGAACAGGGTTACGACCGATAACGGAAATGGCGAAAATTTATGACGTCATTACTCCCTCCCTTACCATACCGCTTGCTCGCAGAACTGAAATGGTCAGATAACCGCTTTTAACTAGTAATACTCGCTACAAATGCCTTATTGTTCCGTCACAACTGCAGTCAGTTATTATTATTAAATTTGTTATATGGTTATTAAGAAACCTAGTAAGCACCAAACACTCGGCAAACAGTCGGCCTTCGCTCGGCATAGGCGGTTGACCGGCGGTTCGGCTTGCAATATTTAGTTGGAAGTGTGCGTCCGTAATGGCATAGCTGAACATTAATTGTTTGGAGTCCCCATCTCCATCCTCATCTGCTCAGTAACGAATAATGTCTAGCTAGTCGAGTGTGTTATAGAACTATCTTGCCATTCGTAGAATTTCAGGACTGAACTTATAGGATATACCTCTCCAGGACGCCAGCCTACGTAGGCTTTTTTTTTGAATGGCCAGGCAGTTGTGGCCGGCACTCGGCCAACTATACACAGCCGACACTCGGCCGAGTAAACATAGCCAACATTCGGCCAGGCGGACATGCCCGTTCTATAAGCCGGAAGAAATACGTGTGTCGGGCCGCACGCGGCCGATTCGGCAAAAGGTATTCGGGCCGTATGCGGGCCGGCTAGCTTGTGCTTACTGGGAACTTGTCACCATATATTTGTTATATGCTTGTCACGCGATCCGAAAGGCTGGCGGATGATTACGACAAGAAAAAATTGTTCTTAATAAGACCTAAAAATCCAAACGACGCCCCAGAACAACAAACCAACTTCGAAGGCCTTTTTTCCCTACCTTAAAGGGACAACCGAGAGAATAGGCAAAGTTTTCAAAAAACATAACATTGAGACCACATTTACCGCCCCTAGAAAGATCGGTCAAATACTTCCAAACGCCAAACCAAAAATAGAGTTAGAGGCACAAGGGGTGGACGACATTTCACTACAAAAGCACTGGCAACGCTGCGTATACCCAAATTTTTTTAAATATTACATTCCCTTTTTCCCAGTTAACTTTGGTTTTATTATTCACCATCGACGAGTAATTTGCTTTTAATGACAAAATTATTAAATTACATTAAATTAAATTATAATTATAAATATTTAATTAAAAAACAGTTTGTATAATATAGGTACAAACTGTTAATATAATAATAATTTATCGTAAAATATGTAAAAATAAACATATTATGTTTATTTTTACATATTTTACGATAAATTATTATTTCTTATATAAAGAGTTGGGGATGGTCAATTGACCGCGGTCAATTGACCAGTCTATTGACTGTCAATTGACCAGTCTATTGACTGTCAATTGACCGATACCTATTTGACCGGTCAATTGACCGGTCAAAATATATTTAATTTTTGCAGCATTTTATCAACAATTACCCGTGAATCTCAAAATTTTTGCGATAGTGCAATATCGACATCATTTACAATTTGGTGGTTCCCCGAGTCGAGGGGTTGCTAGGCCAGACTCGACGCTTTGCCCTTAAAGCCGCACAAACGTTTCTAAAGATGGACATAACTTTTATAATAAAAAAAATTGGTAACGTATTTTAATTACCTATTTATTAAGTAGAAATAAATCACAGTAATATTTATTTTGTTATTTTATTTAATTTTGTTTGGTCAATTGACCAAAAACAATTTGACCGGTCAATTCCACAACCCTACTTATATACCATTAAAGCCTGATATATATTATTATTATTATTATTATTATTATTATTATAGATTGCCTTTCTTCCTTCCTCCCTTCCTCACGTAAAAGATGAACAATATAAAAACCTATTCCCATACGAGAATCTATAAATGGCACTACGATTTTCGTTCTGTCAATCTTTTATGGGAGGAAGGCAATCTATAAATCAGGCTTAAAAGACCGTGGGTTGGTACAATAAATCCTTTTTCAAAACTGGGCAACACTTGGCAACACTGATTCTTTATTTTATATTTGTTATGTCGTATTTAAACGTCAAGTTTTATTTTAATCGGCTGGTTTTATGCATGTGTAAATTTTAAATTATATTATATATGTCCTGTGCATAGAGAAACCACGTTCTGTGTATATGTGAATTCCAAATACATCACACACATATAATATAAAGAATCAAAATGTTGTGTTTCTAATTATAAATAAGGTAATTCCACAATAATTGTTATGTTTAGTAAAGTTACTATTATCTTGTATGCGTAGAACCTACCTACTTATATAGAATTTAATTTTTATTGCCATAAAAGTTTGTAAATACTATAAAGCAGTGGGTCAATATAATACTTGTACAATAAAATTTACATGTTAGGTAAATACATGTACAACATAAACAAAGTGAACAACCAAAGTTTATTTTAAGTCTAACTACTTTTTAAAATTTGTTTTTGACATAATGTTTTTGTTTTCCAGTTCACAAAAATTAATAGGTTCAAACCTTGACTGTCTAGGTTCTCACACATACTAAACATGTGACGGAGCAATATGGAATGCTACTTTCATCAATACAATATAACTGACCATCTTTATTTAAATAAAACCAGGTCTGTATTAGAATGTATGTAATGATTTTTTTTTGTATCAAGTACTATGATTTTTATATTTTACCAAGAAGATCTAGCCTTATTTTGAATAACTATTTTCTTTACATATTTTTTTCAATAATTTATTTGTGTTGTTTTTATTGTAAAAAAGATGGTCATCCTAGGGGTGTTTTTACATTGTGGGTCAAAAAACAAGGCAATTTTTAGTAGATAGTATCTAATAAATATGTGTTAATGGGTGGGGTCTTTGATGAGTATCTACTACATACTCATCAAAGACCCCACCCATTAACACATGTTTATTATTTTGGAAAAAATAACTCACATTTCACACAAGAATCATTTTACTCATTTTAATTTAAGCAAACACTTGTGAAAAAAAATTCATTGGCTTTAACCTCAAAAAACACCTCAAAGTTCCTTAAACTCAGATGTTTGTAATGTTAGGGCCCATTATGGTGGCGTCAAAATACATAAAAATATATGCGTCTTGTCCCCAGATCAAGATACTTTTTTTTGTGTGGCTGTGTTATAATTTATAAAATATTTATCAAAATATTGTTATATAATATATATTATACCCGCTGAGATGATATTTATATAAATATAATAATATTTATGAATCCTGATTTTTTCTAATTATTAAATATCTAAAAAACCCTTATTTCGATGTTTGTGTTTGTTTATAAAAATGATGGTCAGCTTTTGAGGTACCTATTTGGATTTAAATTTATCCCAGTGATGTCCAGGGGCATCTAAGCTGTTATATTTAAAGAAAAAAATGTTTTAGCATCTCTGTTCATTTTGGAGAAAAACAAATTCTTTCCACATGTTTGAAGCAAGGGAAAATTACACACGGGAAAGGCCGTACCCAATGTTAAAAAATTAAATTTAAGAACAATTTTTGAACAAAACCTGATCTGTACTGTGTTGCACCCGTTTGTTTATTATCCAATCCCCCCCGAAACTTTTTTCTAGCTACGGCCTTGCGTACGGCCTTAAAATGTAAGATATTTAAAAGCGATAAATAAAACATTTTATCTTTAGGTTAGTTCTAGTTATTCTAGTTATTTTCATAGTTTCCAAGTCAGATATTTTTTGTTGAAAAAATTGCAACAACATTTCGGAAATGAAGGGTTTTCGGAAACTAGTTTTTTACTTATTTGTGTGCAAGGAATCTCATTCTATTTTTTTTTCAACATTACTGATTCTGTACAAAACCAGTTTTTTACCAGCCCATAGTTAATGTAAAAATTTTATAGTTAATTTAGGGGCCTAATATCAAACCCAGCAAAGTCCATTGTTTTTAGAGGTTTCTCTAAAAACAATGTTAACATTTTTAAGTATTTCTTTAAAAAAAGAGATCTATGAGAGAGGTATGATATTTTCACTCAATCATTTCAACTGAACCTGTATTTTCACGAAAATTTTGATAAATGTGGTGGAATTTGCTAATAAAATCAGGCACAATAGTAAACGAATTATTTTAAAATACGATATTAAAGTATTCCCTTGAAAAAAGATGTACCTAGTAATATGGGCAATAATGTATGATATTTTTATTCAATCATTTCAACTGAACTAATGTTTTCAAGAAATATTCTTAAATTTGATGAAATTTACTAATAAAAAGTACTGGACTTTGCTGTGTTGGATATTAGAGTCTAATAATTATTAATATGTTTTTTTTTATAATTCAGGAGTCTAATTATAATTAGACCCCTAAATAATTAAAAAAAAACTAGTGGAATGGCGTTATCAACTTAAAATTGATAACTCATAAGGATTGACGTTTGATGTTAGATTTAAGTAATTAATTCTTAGCGAATTTTTAATTTCTTATTTTTTTTTAATTAGTCAATAGCCATGAAGTAACTTTTTTAGTAATTTTTTTATTTTGTATGAATTCACCGTACGTTCTGAGCTCTTAAAGTGCCGACGCATATGTGATCCAATGAGCGTATCAGAAAGCACGCGCAGAATGTGCGCGCACAGGTATGCATGCGAGTTCACGGTGTGAGGTAAACTGAGAAAAATCTGAACTTGGGGATTCTGTGCGGTATTTTATAGTTGTGCTATTCTCTTTCCTCTGTATATTATTTTGTACACCTTGTATAAAAATAAGGAATCATAAGTATTTAGTAACATTGTTTTGTCATTTTAGCCTGGTATGAAGAAATGATTAATGGCAGAAATAAATTGACTGTGGCTGGTATGTCTTGGAGTGCTGTTGAACAAAAAATTTGCATTATTCATGACGATGGTACAGTAATTGTTGGTTGTGGTGGAGGAAACCAAATTTCGGGAAAGGAATTAAAACATGTTCAGTAATCTGATGTTCAATGGTCTTTAGGTGAAAAATTATTGTTGTTTAACTTAAAGAATGAACAAGTTTATTTCTATAATATCCAGGCAAATATTTTATTATTATTATAACTCTGAAGCAATGTTTTAAAGTTTGTCGCACATTTGAAGCTAAATCGCTTCCATCAGCTTCAATGTACATTTTTCAGCTTCATGAACGTTTTGAAGTACGTTGCAATTCTAGCTTGCCTAACAGCATCATTGCGCACAGGTATAATTAAGGTTAAAATAATTATATGTCACATGGACGTTTATTTGGAACGCACTCCCTGCGCATGTCCGCGCCACTTAATTTAGAACTTAACTCACGAAATGAGTTCTGTCTCACGCCACGAGCTCAGGTGATACATAATAAGCAAAATGCATGAGGAATCAAGGCGTGAGGTAAACTGAGAAAAATCTGAACTCGGATGCTGTGCGGGTCCAAGTATTTTTTCAATAAATTTTAGGGATTTATTGTTAACATAACAAATAAAATCTTAACAATTTAAAACTCCATTTACCAGCGTGAAATTTTTTTATTCTTGACATGTATTTTTGGACAACTTGGACGTAATTTAAAGGCTGATATCACGTTAAATATAAGAAAGCATTTTTTTTCATCATCCTAATACTTATCTATAATTTAAGATGTAAAATCAACGATAGTGATGAAGAAAGGAAGAAAGGAAAAAGGAAGGACAGGGACTTCTGAAAATGGTGATAAAAAATTTTCCCACAAAGCAGACAATGAGAAAAGATGAGAATGAAGACATGTTTGAGACAAAAAACAAGGGTGAATATCATGGGGTTGAATATAATGATTCAGGGTGAGTTATACTTGCTACAAATTTTTTGTTTTTATTTACTTGTGTCAAACTAAATACATCAAAATCAAAAGCAATTATCAGTTAATTTAGGGGTCTAATAACCAACCCAGGAAAGTCCATTTGAGTAACATTTTCACAAACTTTAAAATACGCTATTAAAGTATTTTCTTGAAAAAAGATGTACATAGTAATATGTATGATATTTTTATTCAATCATTTCAACTGGACTCGTGTTTTCAAGAAATTTCTTAAATTTGATGAAATTTACTAATAAAAACTACTGGACTTTGCTATGTTGGATATTAGAGTCTAATAATTATTAATATGTTTTTTTATAATTCAGGAGTCTATAATTAGACTCCTAAGTAAATAAAAACAACTTATTAGAATGGCGTTATTAACTTAAAATTGATAATTCATAAGGATTGACGTTTGATGCTAGATTTAAGTAATTAATTCTTAACGAATTTTTAATTTCTTAATTTTTTTTAATTAGTCAATAGCCATGAAGTAACTTTTTTAGTAATTTTTTTATTTTAAAAATCACTCGCACAACAATCCTGAGTTCATATTTTATTTTTTATGAATTTACCTCACGTTTTGAGCCTTAAAGTGCACAGGTATGCATGCGAATTCACGGTGTGAGGTAAACTAAGAAAAATCTGAACTTGTGGATTCTGTGCGGTATTTTATAGTTATGCTATTCTATTTCCTCTGTATATTATTTTGTGCACCTTGTATAGAAATAAGGAATCATAAGTATATTATTTTGTGCACCTTGTATAGAAATAAGGAATCATAAGTACATAAGTATTTAGTAACATTGTTTTGCCATTTTAGCCTGGTATGAAGAAATGATAAATGGCAGAAATAAATTGACTGTGGCTGGTATTTCTTGGAGTGCTGATGAACAAAAAATTTGCATTATTCATGACGATGGTACCGTAATTGTTGGTTGTGGTGGAGGAAACGGAATTTGGGGAAAGGAATTAAAACATGTTCAGTTATCTGATGTTCAATGGTCTTCAGGTGAGAAATTATTGTTGTTTAACTTAAAGAATGAACAAGTTCATTTCTATAATATCCAGGCAAATATTTCATTATTATTATAACTCTGAAGCAATCTTCCAAAGTTTATCACATATTTGAAGCTAAATCGCTTCCATCAGCTTCAATGTAGATTTTTTCAGCTTCATGAACGTTTTGAAGTGCGTTGCAATTCTAGCTTGCCTAACAGCATCATTGCGCACAGATATAATTAAGGTTAAAATAATTATATGTCACATGGACCTTTATTTGAAACGCACGTCCGCGCCACTTAATTTAAAATTAACTCACGAAATGATTTCTTTCTCACGCCATGAGCTCAGGTGATACATAATAAGCAAAATGAATTAGGAATCACGGCGTGAAGTAAACTGAGAAAAATCTGAACTCAGGGATGCTCTGCGGGTCCAAGTATTTTTTCTATAGATTTTAGGGATTTATTGTTAACCAATCAAATCTTAATAATTTAAAATTCCTAGTGTGCGCGCAGTTTTTTAACGCCGGTCACATGTCCCCAAGACCAAAAATACTTGTCTTGGCGTGGCCACCCCTCGATTTTTTACCATTTGCCCCCTTACACCCAAAATTGCACCTGACCCAATCTCCAAAAATCATTTTAATATCGAAAAATATCGGTTTATTTAATTCGTACTTTAAATCAATTTTAAGCAAAAAGTTTACAGACGTAAAATTTTTTTATTCTTGAAATGTATTTTTGGACAACTTAGATGTAATTTAGAGGCTAAACAATGTCACAATTCGCGGGCGCCTTTTGCTTTTGAACTGAACCGTTTTTGTTATAAAAAAAACATTTTTTAGATTTGTTTTTGTAAACTACATAAATAGATGAATTTTCTGTGAAAATTTCAGGCCTTTATTATCAAAGTAATGCGGTTAAAACTGAAGAACTTTAAAACTATCAAAATTATTGAAAATCGCTGGGTAAACATCGATATAAGGGTTAAATATAAGATCATCACATGCCTTTACAATTTAAGAATTAAATTTCATAATAATTTTTATTTGCTGTTTTTAGAGTTTTGTTTAGTTGATTTCTGCACAACTTTTTTTAAAACTGGGTTAAAGTTACTTTTTTGAAGCTTCTCATACATAATTTGTTTTTTATTAACATAATTTACCAGGCTGTGTGTTTAATCAATACATAAATAAAATAAATTTTATTAGCATAAGCTATTTACAACAATCAAAATATCACAATAAAAAGGTTTTTTTAACATAATTAATTAGTAATTAATTTATAATTACAAATTTCCTAAATATTTAATTTTTTACAGTGTTTTATATCATTTGTAAGACTATTAAACCTTTAGTGGTGCATCATAATTTTTAACATAAAAATCGTCAACACTTTTTATTAATATTAATTTGTTGTTTACCTGTAATTCTTAATTATTCTAATTCTTAATGCTTTATTTGAAGGTTACATTTTTGCATTTCATTATTACAATACAGTTGAATAATAATTAAAATGTGGAACTATAATGGATTTATTTAAATCAATAATTTTACTTGAAATGATAGATTTTTCTACCAAGAAAATATACTTTTTAAATATTTTATTTAATAAATATTCAACATTATTTTAGTTCAAATTCAAGTTTAATATAATGCCCATATATTTTTTTTCAAAGTTTATATTATTTATTACCAAGTTTACGCTACTAAATTCAAGTTACTGTATTCGCAATTTTATGATTAGATAAAATACACATATATTTTACACATTTACCATTTACAATTATTATCAACATGCCACTTACAAAGAATTTCTAATTGTAAATTTAAAATATTTACCATTTCAAAAATTTTATCACCACCAACATAAATCGCCCGCAAACCAACAAATATTAGAATTTTTGGCATACTTTAATTTAATTTATATACAAAAAAACAACAGTGGTCCTAAAACCGTACCTTAAGGTACCATAATGGTTTTCAAATTTTCTTAGACATTAAACTATTAAATTTAACAATTTGAGATCTACTGGTCAGATTTGAACTAAACCTTTTTAAAACCTATTTTATGAAACTTTTCAAGCAATAATTCTCTATTTACAGTTTCAAAAGCTCGCTTAAAGTCTAAGAAAACAAAAGTAATAATTTTACCTTTATCAATTTCTTTTACAATATTGTCATAACATATTTACAACAGTGATTTTTTCTAAACCCTGATTAATTTAACACAATTACACTATTACTTATACAATCTATCTGTTTATTACATATACTTCTATCACTTTTTCATAAGGTGCTACTAAGTTTAATGGTCGATATTCCCTACACACACAATTGTTTCAGTGACTTTTGGTACAGGTACTACTATGTAAGTTTTCCTCTGGGAACACTTCAGTTTAATGCGTTTTCGTTTATTATTTTGGGACAATTTTAAAAGAGGGTGCATCTAATCAGTGTTTAATTTTATCTACAAAAAAATCAAAAGCTTTGTTTAAACAATTCTGATGATGTATACAGTGTGACCCATTTGTTTGCGACACACCCTTGTTAAATCTTTATTTATTCTGCGATTTTAACCGGATTTGTTTTAAAGTGTAGATCTTGATAAACTGTATTATTATTCTTTGTTTCTGTTACAAATCTTTTTTCAATTTTTTGGCTTTGTAACTCTCAGCTTTAATAATAGGTTTTCATGTTCCTTTTTTATATTATAAAAACAGGGGGACATAAACTGAATTAACTTTCTTATCCCTCTCGTCTCTTTAAATAAATTAGCTAAACTAGGATTTACTTCTACTCCACCAAAGAACTTGTACTCCACTTTTTTTGTCTTCTACTTCTTCATCTTTCGTTGTGCCCTCACAATTTTTAGATATTCACATAAGTTTTCTATTTGCAACGTCTACAATCCGAGTTTTTTATTATTCTTTTTTTTTTTAATTTTTATATCGGGTTACTAGTACGGATGGGAAAGTGACGTAAAAATGGCGTTTACTGAATTTTTTACATTTAATACTTAGTAAATGTAGTATGTAGTGAATTATTGTGTAGTAAATTACGTGATTGGTCTTTTGGTTGATCACGCGTTTGTAAATGAGAATGTCAAGATGACAAACAAAATACTATAAACCAACTTTTTACTAAAAAAAGCTTGAGTTTGTGTTATTCTGTGAGCTGTGACTTTTGAGTTTGACGCGTCAAACCCAAAAGTCACAGTAATCGAACCTTTAATATCCCAATATAATAAAGAATTACTATAGGGTATAGGAAAATACATTTTATTTAAACTATTTTTTACACGACATTATTTTTGATAAGATTATTTCCCAATATCCACCAAATATACAGTCGTGTAATTTGAGTTATTTTATAATTAAGGCCACTTTTGATCTTCTGTAGATGTGTTATGTTTTAGCCAATTAAAAAAATATATAAAATGTTATAATTTCACACAAATGTTAATAACTTAATATGCCCAAGTACTAATTTTTTGTTTTTTTAAATTGATACCAACTTTGGAAGTCTTTAGTTTCGTTATTTTTATCCAATTAAAAAAATATTTATATTTTAGAAAATGTAAATAACTTGATATACCCCTATCTATAGATAGGGGTATATCAAATTAGCTAATTTTTCGAGATAATCAACAAAATATAAAGTCGTGTCAATTTTAGTTTTTTTAATTGATAAAAATTTTTGTAGTCTGTAGTTTTGTTATTTTTGACCTAATAAAATAAAATTAAAGCAAATGTTAGATAATTTCATACTTTTTTAGAAAATGTATATAACTTGATATGTCTCAGTACTAATTTTTTGAGAAAATCAACAAAATATAAAGTCGTGTTAATTTTTTTTATTTTTATTAATAGGAACGTTGAAGTCTGTAGTTTTGTTATTTTTTACCCAGCTAAAAAATATTCTACACTTGTATGTAATGTAAATAATTTGATATGCCTGAGTACCAATTTTTTGAGATAATCAATAAAATATAAAGACGTGTCAATTTTAGTTTTTTATATTAATACCAACTTTAAAAGTCTGTAGTTTTGTTATTTTTTACCCATTTAAAAATATATTTATACCATAAGGTAATTTACAAAATTTCATACACTTTAGGGGAAATCCATTAATTACGTGAGACAAAAATGGGTGGGGGAGGGGTTCAGCAAAATCTACCCAAATTTTATTTTAAGGGTGGAGGAGTTCATTTAAAATCTCACGTCAACTTTTGAGTTTAAAAAATATGTATTATAATTCAAATTTGCAGAATTTACGGAATTGCCTATTGCATGACTAAAATAAAAATATATGTTGGTTTTCTTTTTATATACTAAATTTTTTCGGGTGAAGCTTTCCACTGCCTAGATACGCCGTACCCAATCAGGAATCAAGGCCAGTGTTATTTTTAACTAAACTGTTAACGTTAACAATACGGCGATGATAAGAAGTATATGCGAAGCAAATTACAAACAGAATGTAACCTTCAGAATAATTTCTATTACAAAATAATATAGTTATTAATAATTACTACCTACTTATTAACAATTCTACAGGTGCGTTTAAAATCCAAATTCACCCATAAAAGCCCTATGCTTATAATCATGCATGATACTGCAAGTAATACATATACATGGTGGCTCAAAAGTTTGGAATATTGAGTGTAACTTTTGAAATATCGAAAATTTAAAAAAATGATTTTAATTAAGTTGTTTAATAGTTTATTTCAAATTTTGCGGTGACATTACCAACTTAAAAAATAAATACGTAGCCCCCCAAAAAGGCCAACTTTTTTTCAACAGTATATTAATATTAATATTTTACATAGGGATATTTGAGCAAAATTGCCTGGAATTCAAAAAAACCTTTATTGAAAATAATGCATGAAAACAAGAATATGATTACCCAGTAATTAAAGTAAGTGTAAATGTTCGCCTTTAACGGCAAGACAGTGGCCTAAACGATTTTCAAATTCTCGTTTTACATTTTGCAGCCAAACGTCTTGAACATTATGAATTTTATCAACTATTCTTTCTCTGAGAACCTGAAGATTGCCCGGCCTATTTTTGTACACCACTGACTTCAAATGACCCCATAAATAATCCAATGGTGTTAGGTCTGGAGACCTAGCAGGCCACTCTATTGTCCCTCGTCTACCAA